ACGTGTGCACTGAGCTGTCCTCTCCACTGTAAAAGGAGATGTTGCGCATGTTGTTTGTCCTCGAATAAGAAATGTTTGTGTCTCATCAGGAACTTCCCGAGCGCAACCTTCCAGACTCTCCTACCAGCTACAGCTCTCATGGCTTCGGTGTTCTGGATGCTCGTCACCTGGTGCCTCTGGTTCCTGCCAGATATCCTTTCTCCAAAGAAAACAAACAGAAATGTGAGATGTTTCCTGCATATCGGCGCTTGTTTCGTCGTAGGGTGGGCGTTTCTCTTACCTTGAGAGGATTTAGGGTCAGACGGACATTTAGAGGAGCTACAGTAGATTTTAATGGTTAAAAATGTATCAGACGGAGGCAAAGGAAAGGCCTGTGAATGTAAAGTTGGTTTATAATATTTTACACTGTATTAAGAGTGAGAAACTCTCCACTTAAGTTTCATTATCAGAGACAGGAAGTAAACAAAGAGATGTTAGTTAAGAGTAATGTTTGATGTTTTCATCCTGTTGATCAAGCTGATGAAGGAAGCGTTTCTTAACCTCTGACCCCCACATGGACCCAGCGCCACAGTTCAGGTCTTGTTCTCTCTGAATGCCACCGCTCTGCTCTACTATTACCTCCGCACCTGCAGGACCGACCCCGGCTCCGTCAAGGCAACCGAAGAAGAGAAGAAAATGGCAAGAAAAGTTGGGACACTGAAAAATGACATCTAACGTGTAAATGTTCTGTGACGGATGAACTGAGTTGTTTTGTTTGTGTCGTCAGAATGTGTTGGTGTTGGCTGAAGCTGGCTGTCTGGACCCCAGAATATTCTGCACTTCCTGCATGGTGAGTTTCTGAACACAAAACGTTCACTTTCGAAGACGCCGCTCCACTAACGCAAACCGTGACAACCTGTTATGTTTTACATTCCCTTACACACAGATAAAGAAACCAATGAGAGCGAACCACTGCTTCCACTGTGACGCCTGCGTGGCGAAGCAGGATCACCACTCCGTCTGGACCAACGGCTGCATCGGTACGACAGGTCGTAGCACGTAAACACTGACTGCAGCTGTCAGGATATATACAGTTACATGTGTCTCTAGTTTGAGAGAACATACATGAACAATCCTCAAAATTAGTTTGTTTTTTTAGTACTGAGAGGTTTCATCAAAATACACAGAATGGTGAGACTGTGCCGGGCGTATGTACTGTATGTGTCTGAAGATTATCTTTATTTAAGTTAAGTAGCTTTTGAGGAAATAAGATAAATGGCGCTGTTTCACAATCTTAAAAACAGTAATAAAAAAATATAATTTGTTCCTTGTCCAATTGTAGATTTATTAATTATCTGTGTTTTTTAAGATTCTGCTAAGTAAACTAAGACTATAAACTCCTCAGGAAATGAGAAAGGAAATCTAGTTTCATATTCTTTCAAAGAGAGTATTTTTCTTTTTCTGTAAATTTGTCTTTAGGAAATATGGACAAAAGACACATTAACACACAACGTAAAAACATGACCAGCATGTTGTGGATAAACTGTTTATATTAGAGATTATTAGCGAATATGAATTCAAAATTACAACAAATTGAGACTATAAGAAAGCTGTATTAAAAACCTATTTTAGAACGGTAACTCATTAACCATCAGTTACTGTAATTATTGCACGTGTTACATGTGCGTTTTGACTTATTACGATGCAATATGTCATAGTTAATATATATGTTATTGTCAGCTCCCTCAGAAGTGCACACAATGTTGGGTCTTTTGACTAATAGGTTTGTTGTGTTCCAGGTGCGAGGAACCATCATTACTTCATCCTCTTTCTAATCTCCCTCATGCTGATGGGAGCCTGGATGTTCTACGGTTGCCTCACATGTGAGTGACTTGACATTCAGTGGAACAACATCTGACACTGTTTTACATTCCCACATACACTCAACTGTGCCGTGTATGTATATATTCTTTTCTCCAGACTGGTCCACTCACTGTGTGCTGCATTACGAGGAGCAGGGCGTGTGGGGCGTGGTCTCTGCCCTGGTCAGCTGCTCTCCCTGGCTGCTGTGCGTCTTCCTGCTGGCCTTCTATCACACCTGCTGGTCCGGCTTGATCCTGCTGATGCAGCTCTACCAGGTGACCGGGCTGCTTGGAGTCTGCTAGTGAGCTTTCTACAGCTCTCACACTTCCTATGAACAGTGTTCTTTGTCTTAAAAACTAGAAGAGAGACCTCAGATTTATCTGCCTTCATGAGGTATAGACACCGTGAAAAGCTTATTTTAATGTAGTCTAATAAATGCCTTTTATAAATAGGATATATATGGGTCTCTGCTCTTGTTTCCACTTTTTTGCAGTCAGCATTAGACATTGTTTCCTATTTCTGTAATGACAAATGTCTTTTTTTTTTTATCTCTTGAAGTATCAAATCGTGGAAATATACCGACTTAGAATTGACTTTGATGTGGCAAAAGAGGCCAAACCTGTTGGTCCAGTGTGCATTACATCTCATTGTGTGTTTACGGTCCACTGACCTGCAGTGTGTGTGTGTGTGCACACACAATCAGCGTCTTCTGTGTCCATGCAGTGACTGATGTTTGTCCTTTTGTGCCGGAGCAGATTGCCTTCCTGGGACTAACCACAGCGGAGCGGATGAACCTGACGCTCCACCAGAAGAAGCTCCGACAATCTGGCTCCCTCAGGCAGAATCCATACAAGTGAGTTGATATTAGTGATGTCATTGAGTGCACTATGTCACTATCTTTTGATACTAAAGTTGTTGTTAAGTGCAGCTTTATAATGCCGTGTGCTTTATTTCAGTTGGTAAACAATTTTAGATCAGTGTTTGACGTCAGAAGATTAATGTCTGTAGTTAACAGTTGTGTTGTAATTATGATGCAGGGGAAGCGTTATGGATTTCAGTCAAGGTCTTGTGCAGTAATGGACATCTGTTTGTACATTAATCCTGATTTATTAGTGATGCCACTGTGCCAAATGTGATATAAAGTCTCTATGGAAATAGAATCAGGACCTAAATCCTTAACTGATGCCCCACTAAGATTACATTCATTGTTTTTTCCATATACCTTAATGCTAAAATCAACTAACCACCATTTTAAAGCTCATATTTAAAAAAGAAATCTTAGAAACTGTTTGCTGAGAATTAAACTGATGGAATAGAAATGAAAGTCTCCCGACCATCGATGCATTTGCACGAAACCTGGTGAGGCTGTAACTGTGGTTGTGAATGAAAATAGAAAATGTCTTGTGGAGAAAAGTGCAGTGAAAATCTTCTAGTGGAACTGTTCGTGACGACCGGACATAATGGAAAGCTCTTGCAAATAATGCTGGACCTGGTTGATTTAGCAAAATCCCCGCTCATAAGAACATCTAAAAAAATGGCACCTGGTCAACCATCATCCAGCATCTCGTAGGCATATTATGTCAAAAAGTGGAAGTGATGGTCCTCTCTCTGTCTCGTCTCTCTGCAGTTTGGGCGTCGTGAGGAACCTGGTGTCCTTCTTCCACCTACGTTGTTGTGGCCTCGTCAAGCCGGCCGTCATCGACTGGACGCAGCAGTTTCCGCCCGGCCGCGACCAGCCCATGTTCGGACACACCGACATGGTCTGACCTCCGCGCCGCCCCTCCCTCAGGGTCAAAAGTCAGACTCTCACAGTGGTTCTGGACCAAAAGCACAAAGTGTATTTATTTATTTTTTTAACGGTTTGGCTCCATGTGAACAGAGACCACGGAACACAAAGCATTGTGTAGATGTATCGTTTGATTCAGCTCTTTGTACAGACTGCTGCTGCCTTATACTTGACCAACGAACAGAAATCACAAATGTTTTGCTTTGGGGCGAGGTTAACAAACTTATAAAGGCCTAAATTGTAATTGAAGTTTTGAGATGTTTTTTATGAACACATCAAGCCTATTTCTTATCATCTGTTCTGGGGGAAAAAAGAGGATCTTTGTACGCGTAAACAGTTGGTTTTATGCCTTTTGTAAGAGTTGCATGTGTTTAATAATGGATGACCACTATAGTTCTTCAATAAAGCAATGTTGTGCCTGTCCTTTGAACTGACTGTCTGGACTCACGTACAGGAGGAGCGGAAACTCTGTAAATCGGTACATCATTGTGGTGAGGCTCATAAATGTCCAGATTATTGTGCAGGTCGTTTTTTCGAGCCTCGGTTTGAAGTCACGTAAAGCAAACATGTTATTTTTTACTTTTTAAAGCTCTGTTAACCAATATTTTTATATAAACAATGAGACGAATTAAAAGGGAGTCTGTTAAAGCAGTGATCTAAGTGTCTGCAGGTTCAAACTTTAAAAGAAAAGAGATTTGTTGTGTGTGATACGATTGTGTCCACCACCTGATTATTTGATTTATGGGACAGACCTGTAAAAAATGGATTTCTCTATAAAGAATCAAGCAAAAGCAGCACTTATATCTTGTGTTCACCAGACATCTAAAGCTCGGAAGATTCTTGGAAATCATTCAGCATGAAAAAATGACTTCTCTCTGTCTACTAAGACAAAAAACGACCACCCGATCGACTAAGAGGGGGCAGCCTTAAAAGGCACAATAATAGTTCCCAGAATGAAGTCATCTTTCGGAGTGACCATGTTCTCATCTCTTCTGATTTAATGGTGTGAGATAGCAGCTTTATTTTTAGTTTGACAAAACACGTCTAATCCCATCGCGCTCCGCTCGGCTGCTCACACAACTGTTTGGGAGAAATTAACTTGTTCCGTTTGTTAATCACTTGTTGCCTTGATTAATCTAATTAATTGTTGCACGTTATTTATGAATGCAAATAAGATTCTATTAATAATTTTACTTGAACAAGATGAGGCGCTGCTAATTGCCTTCTCACGGCAGGAGGTAACAAATTCATGCATAGACTTATAAGCAGGGTTGGGCGAGTTATCAAAACTATAATTAGTAATACAAAGAAAATGATTCAAAATAAATGTTTGCACGTGAGTGAAAGCTCTGTTTCCTCTTTACCTTTATTAATGAAAACAATGTCATGTTCCATGAAAAAACTCCATTCAAGATACATTTCACCATAATAGTTTTATTTTGAACTCACAATGAACCATCATTTTTATGTCATTTTATCTGCTCAGGTTTTTTGATGCCCAATATGGCGTCTTTCATGTATAACAAACATCATCCAGTGTAAAGGTGAAAGGTAAAAAGCTGCTGTGTGACACAGTGAATGCGAGTTTAAAACCACAAGAGTTTCCTGTCGTTACTCCAACATGGCGGCGTTCCCCAGTCCAAATCCTTTTGGCCCGAAGTGTTTGGCGTAACAAACTGCAAAGAAAATAAAAAATAAATAAACAATGCTGAGGTAAAAATAAAGATTTTCTGATTTGATTTTCAAATCTGATCTGTGTTCTGTGGGCTGTATTTCTATGTTAATGATTAAAATTTGCTTTCAAAGTACTTTCAATGCAGGACCCTCAAAATGTATTGGAGTCTATATGCAGTGTGTACCTTTACAGTACAGCTCTCCATCCTTGTCTGTCACGGTGGTCGACTCCAGGCTTTTACCACACAGGGCGCAGCGGAAACAGGTTTTATGCCAGGGCTACACACACACACACACACACACACATTAAGATATTAATAAAGACAAATGAAGCTGAATCTAGCATTAAAACAGAACGAGGGCCCAGAAAAAAACATGAGCAATCACAAACTATGAACAGTGTATGAGAGTGATGCTACAGTTTGTGGCCCAGCTGTGTAATGATGCAGAAAGAAGCCAGAATAATAACTTCTACATTTTCTACTGGCTAATTTGGACAATCAGTCTTCTCTGTTTAAGGAGCAAAAACTATTGGACTGTCTACCAACTGAATTGAAAATGCAACACAATGTATATGTTTTTAATAGAGGTATTAAATCATGGCCAATACCGCTGTAGACACACCTGTACTTTGTGGATGTAAATGGGTGTGTATGTATATCCTTTTGTTTTTTCTATTAACTTTAGTGTCCCGTGGAAAGCTGTTGTAAATCAGCGTTTCGCTGCAAACACTAAACACAATGCATCTGCTCCTTGTGCATAAATGTTATAATTCTAAATCCACTGTGATGTCCATATCAAATATAATAAACTGAACATTGAGGACATCCGAAGATGAACCGTGACCAGCCGGAGATCACAGCGAAATCCGGAAACGCACCCTTGAATTGTTCCATCGTTTGGGCTTCAATTGAAGTAACTGTGATACGGGGTGAGATGTCATGTGACCATATCTTTACAGGAAAGGTCACAAGGATTTATGTTCTTGGGCCTTTGCATGTCTGTCAGGCAGATTGGTTGTTATTTTAGGTATTTTCATGTTTGTTTGTGAACAGTTTGGGGGTCAAAATTATTTTGTTATTGTTACCATGTGAATATGGCATTAGATTGCACACAGCTGTAATGAATCCCTCTGCTCCTCTATCACAATGTGACTTCCTGGCTGACAGTCTTTGCAGCTGCCTGTCGTCAGCACTCGATGAGCTCGTCGGCCTGTGGGACTATATGAGGCCTTTCTCTGCTTCAGTCTCTGTTTGACCAGAGAGACTTTTCACCACAGAGTTCCTGGAAGAGTTTAGTGCGTTGCTGTATTTTTGGTAAAGCTTTAAAGAGATTGTTCCTGCACTTGGGACCTCATTCTCTGCCACCACTTGTTTGGGCTCTAAGAGCGCCTTGGTGGTATCGTTTAAGACAGAAAAAAACGGATTATTTAGAGATAAGAGGTCTGAAATCAACATCAGGCTGCTGAGGCAGCAGGAAAGCAGCAACTTCACATTAAAGGGTGGTGTATTTTAAAATGCGTGGAAATTAAAGTATAATAAACAAATTTCATTAAAACAAATCCACCACAGTGTTCCTTACCTTCCCTGCTCCCATCACCTTCTCAGCTGCGAAGACGGCTTTGGAGCAGCGAGGGCAGCGGTCTGAACATCCAAACTTCGGGGAAGACTTCTTGTCATTGGAGTTTGTGGAAGCTGGTCGTGGTTTAGAGCTAACACTGTGATGACATCAATCAATCAAGTTTTATTTATACAGCACCTTTCATACAAATCAATCAACTGCAATTCAAATGGAAAATGGAGAAAATATGGAGACGAATGCACACCAAATGAAGTTCAGCAAAAAAAACATTAAAAAAGTAAAATTAGAGCTAAATAAAATGTGTACAAATACTAAAACCATAGCGTAAAAACAAGACACTGTATTAATTCATATTTAATAATCAGCAAAAATAATAGAAAGCATAAAATTCTAAAACTACTTAAAAGTCAGACTGAATAGATATATGAGAATATGTTTAAGGCTTGGAGCACAGTGGCTAAAAGCATCACCAAATGTTTGTACCAGCCAGTATGCTTTTATGTATTCACTATTTTTGAATACTCACAATTTAGTTACCCCCCTGAATTTCACTCGCGTCAAGAGTGGAAGTCTCTCTCAAAGGGCAGTAACACATCATGGGACACTTTAGTTATATTTACAACTTCTTGTGTCTTGCTTTTTCTTTTTAATGTAGAAGGTAAACAACATTTCTCAAGTTATAGACGTGTTTGTGCAGCTGTGTTTAGAAAGGAACCCCTATCACACTGGAGAACGGCAGAATTAACTAGTTATAGATCTTAAAGCCTCCGCACATAAAACTACCTACATGGCTCCATACCACTATAGGGGTAAGATATGTTGTGAATATGTTGACTTATGTGATTTGGGTGCGATGGCCCTTTAATGACAGCCCAGACTTGTGTCTCTAACGTACTCGTGATGCTGCAGGCCCACATGTCGAGGAGGGTCAGAGCTCAGAGCTCCAGCTCCTTGCCCGTATCCGTAGCCTTTTGGCCCATATTTCTTGCCATAACAGGACTTGCAGTAAATCTCAGACTCGTGCGCCGCAACCGTGGTGCTGTCCAGCCCTTTTCTGCAGCTCACTGTGTGAAAGAAACACAAATATTTTGCACATTTAAACCAGCTGTTGTCTGAGTGAAATGGATTCAGTTTGCCAAGACTGGGGAGTGTCATGGTGGAGTAATGGAAGTTAAATAAAGCTCCCACATAGCTGGTTTTATCAGTCAACGGGGGCATCACACTCAGATGTCTTGTGTTTCTATTTGTAGGAAGAGAGGAGAGTGCGAGGTGAATGTTCGAGAAAAGACGAACACTTAGCATGATGGTTGTGCTCATCGCAGAGGCCTTTCAGGGCTCCCACTGGAACAATCAAGCAGTCACACAGACTCACGTCCAACCAGCTGGAGAGGGTTTGTGTTTGAGCAGAGAGCAGAGAGCAGTAAACCGATACGAGGCGTCCCCGGATGAGACCACCCGGTCAAACAGAAGGAGAAGAGGGGGAAACTCTGCTGGGGCAGTCAAAGCCAGAGAGCGGCCATTCAACTACCAGAACATGTCGTTACATGAAAAGAAAAAGGGAATATATGAAAGATTGCTGAGAGAAGGTGGTTTGTGCTGGTTGAACATTAAAGAGCAGCAACAGGAGAAGAAGTGTATAAAGAGGAAAGAAAGAAAGTGACAGAAAGAAAAAAGATGAATTGTGGCAAAAAAACAGGAGCACGAAAGAAGGAATCGGTAGAGGGAATAGGAAGCAAGAATGAACAGCAAAGAACAAAAGAAAGTAATGATTAAAACAAAGAAAATGAAACCACAAAATCTGGACTCTTCACTACAAAAGAATACAGATAGATGCCGCTGTGCTGTTGTTGGGCTCTTCTCTCAGTTCACAGCACCCAAAGGCGTCAACAAGGCAGCTGATAAGAGCAAACGAGCCTCACAGAAACATGGAGGGAGGTTGTTCAGCAACATTCTGCTGCTCCACCATGACACTCTGTGCTGCACCAGTAAACAGAAGAAAGAACCAGTGTGCTGCTCACTGCAGATGAAACAGGTCTTGTGGAAGCTCCTCCCGTTACACTGGATCTCCTCTGCGTGGTACACCGTCTTCTCACAGGCGGCACACTTGGTGCCTCCTCCCCAGTTCGGCATCTTACAGAAACAAAAGAACAAACTCCAACAAATTACTTTGTTTTCAGTCCGACAACAAACACACCGAATAGTCTTTTAGAGTCTATTTTAGGGCTGCAACATTACATTTAAGTAACGATTTCTCTGCATATTATTTGTTTTGATATTTTCATTTGATAAATGATAAACGCAATTCACTTTTTTGTTTTTAAATTATCTTATTTTGTTTCATTAAGTGATTGACTAGTTGTTTAAGTATTGGAAATAAGAAATGTGCACCAGCAGGTCCAGACAAAATAACTGCCAACTGAGGACGTTTCCTGTTAGATGACTACGATGATGATAATAATACATTATGTCAGATCAAGTCAGAATTTAAAAAGACAGTTTAAGACAGTAAATAAAGATGCATTCATCACAGGAGTTGAACGTCGATCTAAATATAACTTCCTATGAATTGAAAGAATCTTCTTCCCTCTTTTTTTTTACCTTTAAAAACCTAAATGTTCCTCTGTGTGATGTCTTAACCTGCTGTCTTTTTTAACAGCAAGCTTTAAACCTTTTAAATATACCGGAACACTCAAACCACTCAACTCTCACACAGTGTTATTAGTATTTCAGTTTTGATGGTTCTCATTTAATCAGATTTGACTCTAACGTCAGCGTGGAGATGTGGCCGTGCTGCCCTGCTCTCTGACATTCCAGTTCCTGCTCATATCAGAGGCTGCCCATCACCTCACAGGTCTGGTATGTGATATTCTCGGAGGCGAGGCTTTACTGAGACATCAGAGACCAAAGACAGAGACAAAAGCCGCCAACAATACAGGAAATGTCAGATTTTTCCTTGAGACAAATCAGAAATCTCACATGGAACTGACTCCTGGCGTTGAGGTTCATGTCAGAAAGGACTAAATAAAGTCTGATAAAACTAAAATAAGTAATCATAAATCAACCACATTACCCATGTTGTAATAAACCACTCAACTAACAGGAATGAGTCCTTACCTTGAATCCAAGCCTGTGTGCTCTGGTCCTACCGTGGCAGTGAACTCTCCCCGGGCGGCTTAAATACCGTCCATCTCGCCATCACCACAGTCCACCGGTGACGCTTCAATGAAAATATCCTCCTAAAAATAACTTGTGACAGAGCAGAGCCCTCTGACCCTTCATCCCAGGCTGAAAGAGGCCCGAACATTTGTTCTGGACTCACAGGCAGACACTAAACAAACTCTAAACAAAACCCTGACTGACAGCTGAGCCGTCCTCATGGTATGTTAGAGGATTATGGACGTAAACTCAAAGCATGTAACCGACAACTGCACATCTGAATGTGAACACGTTGGTGAGCCATAGTGACTCTGTGATGCTCATGAGGCAAATGTTACAGTTTGGCCAGCAGGTGGACCCCGAGAGGAGGAGGCCATGTTGGTACATGGCAGTCATTCCAAAAGACTGGGTCGGGACCCATGGGTGAGTGGCAGGAGATCTTATTAAGATCCCATAATACCTTTTTTGACTTCTAATCATTCAGACATCTTTTTGCAACCGGAGGAGTCGCCCCCTGCTGTTCAGTAGAGAGAATGCAGGTTTTAAGACACTTCAGTATTGGCTTCACTCGGCAGAACCGGAGGTTGCCGCCCGAATCTGATCAAATAGTTGTGGAGATGTAAACCAAAACACAGACCAACATCACACCATGTTCATAGAAAAAATGTAATTCAATTAGCATTTTACATTTAGCAGGACATCAGAAAACAAAGGTGATTTCCTTATAAATTAAACTCGTCTGATAAACCTTAGAATCACACACATTCACATATTCTTAACAAATCCATTTTTAACAGGCGTAACAGTTAACATGTACATTTGTGCAAAAGTCCTCTCATTAGGTTTAACTTGGAGACAAAATGATCAATCAACAATGCGCCCAATCAAACCCGCCTTTCGGTCGACAATGTCCATGTTACTTAAGTGTGAGTTTTGACTACTCTTGGTAATTTGAAGAAAAGGAAATTGGTGATCACATCGCCCATATTAGCAGAAATAACTAAAAGAAAGAAAAAAAAAAAAAAAAGAATCAACAAAGTTTCTACCAGCATCACAATGAGCATAACCGTGTTCATGAGTATCCGGAGAACTTGGTTTGAAATGTGTCCACTGGGCCAAAGTCTGCATAGCAGCTACTTTTAGAGCTGGCTGTGACCAGAATGAAGGTGGTGAAATGTTCAGAGGTAATGAATACTGTGAAATGCTCAAACAGACAGAAAAAAAGACAGTCACCCACCCACAACACACATCATGTACACAGTCATCAGGGGGCTTCCCTCAGGAGTCCTCAGTGGCAACGTCCAGCTTCCTCTGAGGAACGTAAACAGTTTTGGTGGCCAGGTGTCCACCGGTGGTGACCATCGCAGCCAGGGGGGAGACGGGGACCGGCGTGTGGAAGAAGCTCTGCTGGGGGAGCCCCGTCCCGTTGGGGGTGGTCATCAGAGGCTGGACGACACACAATCTTCAGTTAGTCTTTCATTGTAAAGGACAAGTTCAACCAGATCAAAAAGCAACTAGTTGTCCCCGTTACTCCGCAGACCTCACTGGAGTCCTCATGAAAACTACTGACAGCAAGGTTTCAAGTTTCCCGATGCAGATAACTCGAAATCTAAACCATCTGCACGACGACACATGCTGACTAGACCCTTTAAAAACACAAACGGGTTGCATTGGTTCACAGGCTGAATGTGAAATACTCCTGACGTCTTATAGAGTACAAATTAACAAAATATATCGACGGGTTGTTGAAGAACGTCAATCACTTTATCAAGTGTTTCAAAACTCAAAGTAAAATATTAAGACTTCCTCTCTTTCTCAAGTATTGTAGTACTATTACTCTGACTCAAATGACTGCTCAGACTTGACAAAGCTCCTCAGAAGACAGTATATAACTGTTTTTTTAAAGGGTTGAATGTAGCGATGCACTGATCGATCGGCCGGCGGTCAGCTGTTTGTGACAGTTATTTAATTGTCAATGTTTTATTATCAAAATACACTATTGAATTTCTATTTCACATGACAGAAAAGTTACTCTAGTATTTGTGTATGCTGTCAATTATACTTCTTAGGAAGAAAGAAAGTCGGAATCAGCCATGATAAATGCAATCTGTACATCTCCAGTTGAAAAGCAGGGAAGTTACTGTTTTTTTTACCTGCTGTACACTAAACAGGGCCATTGGCTGCCCCGACACAGACTGCTGGACAGGCACAGGGGACACCGGTTTGATGAAGACCATGCCCCTCTGCTGCAGAGCCAGCGGGCTGGCCAGGGTGTTGGCACACTCTGGAGTCTGGGGGGCGGTGAAAGCGTTTCCTGGACTGGAGCCGGAGATCAGGCCCAGGTTCTGCAGGGTGAAGTTGAGGATGGCAGGACTGGGGCTGTGGAGGCGGTGGGCCTGCTGGATGGCGTGTGGCGAGGCGGCAGCAGCGGGTCTGTGGAAACGAAGGCTGATGGGCGTGATCTCCTGGGCGAGGGCAGGTCTGGAGCCTGTTGATGACAACATAAAACATGTGTAGAGACAAAATGAATGATCGACTAAAGGAGTACCAACAAATTAACTGATAATAAAATCAATCACATGCAGGAATTTCCCACAATCGTGTGAACAAAAGACTAAGGACAAAAAAAGACTAAATCTAGGTGCACTCTGAGACCTTAAATCAACTTCTATGACGTCTTTACCTGCGGTTGGTGTTTGGTAGATGTTGTAAGTGGGAGTTGAGGCCTTGTTGCTTTCTCTGCCTGAATCTTGAATTGCTGAGTTGTAGCTGATGAGGGACTGCTGGGAGATTGGGATCAGGTATCCGGCTGGTATTAAAGTCTGGACAGGCAGAAAAATAAAAGTCACACATACTGCCGTTGAATCGACAAACACAACAAAAGGCGTTCTGCTGTTAACTGAAGCCCAGTCAGCATTGTGTTTGTGTGTTCACCTCGGTGTGGAGGTGTCCTGGCGTGAGCGGAACGACTCTGACGGGTGTTAATCCGGCCTCGCTGTCCGAGTTCGCCGCCCTGTCCTCTCTGTCCAGGAAGGTCTCTAAGGCCTGCTCTAGTGTCTGATGCGCTGCAGCGCCGCCGGGGGTGTTGACAAACTCCGGGTCCAGGTGGAGGGCTCGGGGCGAGGGCCGGCTCGAGAGCTGACTGCCGCGACGAGCCTTCAGACGGGCCTGGAGGATGTCGCACAGTTTTGGAGACGTGTCCTACAGGAGGGCAAAGGGGGGGAAGAGAAGTACTGTATGTCCGAAATAAATAACTGCTTAACAAACATTTTTAACGTGATTTTGTCTCATCATCTGTTTTATAACCACATGCCGGTTGATGTTGTTTTTTTTTGCAAAAGACCAGCCACTTGCAACACTCAATCAGAATGTTGTATAAATGTAGATGTATTATTTACCTTACAGTTGGGGTCCATCCTCTTGGCTTTTGAGGGGCTGCTCTCTAAGGATGAATCTAAAAGCAACCGTTTCAGCACCAAGGGGCTGACGTCCAACGCCCTGACGGCCGGCATGCTCCTAGCTGCACACTGGCCCGTGGGGCTCTGCCCGGTCTTGTCCTCAAAGGTCATGGAGCGCACGGCGAGGCTGGTCGGCTGCGGCCGGACCAGAGGGTTCGGCCTCGGGGAAGGAGATTGCAAATACACGGCGTAGGGCACGCCCCCCCGCTGCTGCTGCAGCAGGACGGGGATCAGGGGCGAACACTGGGCGGGGAGGTAGGCGACGGAGCCCGCAGCCAGGGCTGCGTTGGGGGTGAGGTGGACCGCAGCGCTGACTCCCGTCTCTGGGGGTGGAGTTAGTAACGGGGCCTGAGGCGGCTCCATCGAAACAGACGAGGTCGGCTCTTCTCTCATAGCAGCAGTGTCTGTCTCAGCAGCAGCAGCGGCGGCGGCGGGCTTTGGAGCCTCAGCTCCGGTCCTGGAACAGAAGCGGGACTCTCGTTTAACAATCTAGAGATCTACAATGATCTTAATACAAAACTGCTGGGAGCTGAACCTGTAGTTTGCAAGTATAGAGGACCAATCAACAAATTCTATCACATGTTTAAACCACATCAGTGTCTGAATGGGTTGTTATTTAGGTTGAATAACAGTCCAAATGAATCCAAACTTACGATGACTTCTGGTCAAGCTCGATCTTACAAATAGCAGCAAGTTGGGCCATTTTGTTTCGGGAGGAAGTGTTTGAATCGCCTGATGATAAAAGAGGAGAAGACTGTGTCGTCACACTATTCACAAACATACACCGCACACACAGCCTCGTCCTGAGAGACTTCTTTACTCACTGAGGAAACTCTTGACAGGACTGCTGGGGGCAGAATTGATCTTCCGGCGGTCGTCCTGAATGCTCTTGGCCAGCTTTATGAGGGAGGGGTGCCGGGTGAAGCTGCGTTTGGCCCCCGGCGAGGAAAATAGCTTTTTGGCACAGTTGTCTAAAGATGCACGGGACTCCAGAACAATTTTCTTTGTGGTTGAGAATTCGGATGTGGAGCTCTCCAAGTCTGAAACAAGAGGTAAATGTTTAGTCTGTGAAACTAGGAGATACTAATTTAACATACCGTCAGCAGCACTGGCAGTAAAGACCGGAAATATATGGACCGAAATATGAATAATAAGTAAATGGCGGGAAAGAGGTCCGCGATACCTTTGACTTGTGGGAATTCTTCGGGGCCGACCCATTCAAAGGCCGGTTTCCTCCCCCTCGTCTCTGTCACGTGGACTTTCTCGATGAGCTTCAGGCTGCGCAGCACATTAGCGATATCATACAGCCTGCGCACTTTGGCTGTAAAACACACGTGAAACAAAAAACATCAAGATTATCACCTGCAGATACAGAGACGCAGAACATATTCTGACAGAATTCACACATGACACGGCGTCTAAAACTTCAACTTGACATCACTCCAGCTTTTTTAAACCCACATGCCGCGTGGGTATGGTTGAGTATAGATTGCAGTAATTGTGCAATAATAATACTGACTTAAATAATGTTAAACTGGTAATAAATGTATTTTGTATAGACTTTTTCAAAGGTTTTAAATAGCTTTACAGTGCAAGGAAGTTCTAAAACCAACATCAGCATCATTTTACTAGGACTTTAAACAACCCTCCATCTAGCAGGCTCTGGACTCACTCTTGAACTTGCTCTTGTCTTGATCGGCGCCCTGGTCCTCTCCAATCAGGATCTTGGCGGCCACGTCTAGACTGACCACGCGAGGATTAGACACCAGGAAGAGCATGACAAACTTCTGGCTCATCACCCTCAGAGATTTGTCCTTCCGACTGTTAACAGAGGCTGGACAGGAAAAAGATATCAGATTACTGCGCCACAAAACATGGACATCAAGGACCGAAGAATCCGGCCTAAAGTATGACAAACAGCTTCTCACCTGCTTTGAACTCTACTCCTGGAAGCTCCACAAAGAAGAGCTCCTTCTGCCCATGCTCCCCGGTCTCCAGCTCCACCACCTCCTCGTTCTCCTTCTCCTCCCCGTCGAAGTCAAACTCCTTGTCCAGGAGACGCTGCCGGATGTGCAGCATCTGCTGGCCGTACTTTTGCTCCTCGCCCACCTGCTTCAAAATGGCCAGAGTCTGAGCCAGGTTGGTCCGCCCGTGCCACGTGTAGCGGTTCTTGGCGGAGCGGCTCACCATGTGCAGGCTCTCCAGCACGTTCATGATGTCGTAGATGCGCCGGCGTTCTACGCCTGAGCGGACAGAAGAGAAAACACACAAAAGGCAAAAAAAAAAAAAATGCAAGTTAATAACTGAGCTAGTATCACAAATAGTGAAAGAAACAGTGTATGTATCTGGCATTGATTGTGATCTTATTACTTAATCCTCTACAACCAATAGGTGATAAAGAAAACATACTGAGCTCAGTGGCCACGTCATCCAGGCAGATGTCGTTGTTGAGGCCAGGGTCTGGGTAATCTGGGTAGCGGGCGAGGAATTTATGACAGAGCAAACCCAGACTCTTCTCCTTCCTGCTGATCATTTTCTCTGACTCTTCTCCATTTTCAGTGTCCTAAGGGAAGAGAACAGTTAAGAAATGTATTCCTTTGAGCGCCTTTGACTTATAAGTAAGCGTCTATCCCGTGTTGATGTTTTTTTTTTTTCTGTACCTGTGAAGCTTCAAGACTGTCCCGCCCGTCATTGTCCATGCACAGCTCCTTCTCTCGGTTCCTGATGTCAGGACTAGCAGCGCTGATGAGCATTTTAAGGTTGGAGGTCGGCGTCCAGGGGTCCACGGAGCCTACTTCCCTTCCCTTTTTAGGTGTAGTGAGGGGACTCATGGCGAGCTGGTTCTCCACTGACGCTGCACACGGACGAGATGTCGTCTTTGGAGTATTTACCGGAACCTGGGGTGCAACAAAGCAACCATCCTAGTCAGAAAAAAATAAAGAAAACAAAAAGACAATGATAAGGATGTAGAAGCCCATCCACCTTAACATAAGAATTGAATTAGGATCATATTAGCTACCGTTAGCTAGTCATTAACACAGCTATATATTCAGATATGATAGTAAATATTAGAAACAGTATTGGTGAAAAAATCAACAATTAACTTATCTATTCAACCTTTTTTTCCAACTAACAAAATCGCACAAAGGAATTTTTAATACTTTGTTGTTGTAGTTTATCGACCATGTTAATTAGCATTAATATATCTTAAACCTATGTAGTTTTTTTTAGCTACATTAGTAACCTCTTTAGTTTACTTACATGTTTTCGCAGACATCCTTACCGCTTCTTTAGTGAAATTAATTTGTCGGATACGTTAAAATAAGAAACGTGACAATAATAAACTAGATTAAGCACATACCGATGGTTTAATTAGCTGTACCCCCGCCGTTCCTTTTAAAATGTATCACATAATACGTTTAAATCTAATCTAAACACCAGATTCATATTGGCGGTAACTGACGTGCATTCCATCAAATCGCCGGGCCTAACAGACGCAGCGGTGCCGCCCTTTTTTCTCGGAAGTAGCCAATGGGAGCGCCGCGCGAGGCAAGCGGAAAGCCTGTCCCGCGCAGGTAAACAGTTTTTTGAAATCCTTGGCGCGGAACAGCGACGACTCGCTTTAAACTAAGATAAGCTTGTGGCTAAAGTCTGAATTCGTTACTACGGTGAGAGTGTTGCATTTATACGGTGACTTGTTCGAGAAGCGTACACCCCCCACTAAAGTTAATGTTCGTGTCACGTAGCCAGCAGCAAAGTTAACGTTAACAAACCTAGTAAAACCGGATAATCCAGAAACTTCACAACGGCTTTCCTTTAAAACACACTGCGGCCAGATACGTTAACGTACGTTAAACGGCCAGCAAGTGAAGGCGGTAACACAGACACACCAAAACCAAAGCTCCAGTTAAAGGAAACATCTTGATCTATTTAAGGATTAAATAAAAAATAAAAACCGTCCATACGGTTCGCTAGATAAAACACACAGATACGTGCAGACTTACCCAAATACGTCAAACACGTCCCATCTTCACGTTACTTCCAAAATATAAAATTAAGATTTTAATATAAGAATAAAATCCCAAGCATACCCCTAAAGTGAAATCGTAACTGTTCTTGTTTTTTTCTCTTGCTCGTGAGGAGGAGCCTCCTGGTCAACTTTACTACAGAAGTGAAAAGTTTGGATGACCATCGTGACGGCCAGCGCTGGTCCCGCCCCGTATGAGCACGCGCGCTGACGTCAAGCGAGCGCATCCCCGACGTCCACTTCCTTCCTGTGGGAGAGAGGCGGGGCCAGAGAACACGTTGCCTACATCTCCAGTATGATCTCCAGTCTAGATTTGACAAATCTATGATGAGTTTTTATTTATTTTTAATGTGAAACAACAATGGTAAAAGGCTTATATGTTCTACAAGTGTGCAAATGCAATGTGTTTTGGAATCTCCCTTGATATTGGGATGGTAACCCTGCAGGGAGCATGGCTGGATTAAACATTTATAGGGGCCTGGGTAAACAGTGGCTGTGCCCCCATAGAGTGCTGCAGGGATGACATGTTTTTTTTAGGCCACACCAAGGTTATTGAAGAAGGCTGAGAGAAAGGAAACTTTTCTCAAATATAAATAATTTGTTTATGGTCTTAAAGGTGTAATATGTAGTTGAATTGTCAGTTTCTGTTTGTAATCACACAGCATTCATAATTCGGCCCTCCTCTCCGGTTCAACGAGCCAGCCAGTGAGATAGAGAGTGAGAGACAGTGGAGCGGTAGTCAAGCAAGCTAAATAGTTAATGAAGAGAGGGGCCGGTGTTAGTTAGAAACCGAAATCGGCAAAGTCAAGGCTTCAAAATGGTAGTCTAAAATAGCCACTTGTTAGCAATAGCTTCAAAATTCAGGAGACAGGTGTTTACTAATGTTTTTTATGTATAGAACACAGACCTTACTTAACCCATTGGTAAAACCCCAATGACTTTTGAGGGGGAGGGGACAGGAAGTGTAAAAATACTAACTCATTTTCGGGTTTCAGGTTTCATTCCTGCAGCACTCTATTGATGAAATGGCAGATTTGCAGCAACATTATCATGAAAAATACTGCTAATAAGCACATATTTCACTTTTAATGGAAAACTTAACCTTAAAGAACAACCAGTACTCATGTGCTGGAAGAAACCTCCTTCAAGTAGTCTGTGTAGTTTATAGTACCAAAGGTCCTAGATGAACTGCAGGTCATTGTTTTGGTAGTTGATTTTATTTTGCTTGGGGAATTTTCCCCACAAAAGTACAACTTCAAGTAATTCAGATCTATTGGGGCTGCTGCCAGGTTATTCCAGCAGTTTGTGTTTGGTTTAAGAGTCTGAAAGAATGACGCTGCGGGCACACATGGAGGTGGCAGTAGGCTACATACACAATGCAGGGTAGGGGGTAGGCGTTAGAGGCATAGGTGGCCCGCATAGGGTCCTGCCCAACACAGCAAATGTTTGCTCTGCTAATCTGTTATTTGTCAAATAATCCCAGAGCACAAGGTGGTGTTTTCAAATGTCTGGTTTGATCTGACCAACAGTCCAAAACCCAAATATAGTTATAGTTAGTTTATTATAATGAATTACCAGAAAAGACAAGACAACCAGCCCGTCTATGACATTCAATGATGGAAAAATTAATTGATACATTTCAGATAATTATTTTCTGTGTATCGACTAATTGTTTCAGCTCTAATTTAAGTGCTGCTTTATTTTCAATTAACCACCACGGCGCTGTTTGTGCCTCTAAAGACTGCTTCCTATTGAACACTTAATCAAATCAGACCATTCCTTTTACACGGGGAAAAAAAAGTCTAATTAAATGATTGAACAAAAATTAATCAGTGCATATTAAAACTTAATGTGATCACATTGTCAACCGGATAATCACGATGACACGGTAGTCAGAGCTAGGGGCACAGTTAGATTGATAGATTCATTTAATTGACTCCAGGTCAGCAGACAGCGGACATGTCTCTGTTTCGAAGCTAGGTGGCGGTAGAGCCCCGCTTAACGGGAGTCACCATGGAAACCCACGGGCGACTTCAAGGATGCTGGGAGAGAACAGTGACGTAATGTTACGGTTGCGAGAGAGAGAGAGCGAGTGGGACCCTGATGCTGCCTTCAGTTGCTCCTCGTAAATTAGGCCAACCACTCCAATTGGGTATAAGGCCAGCAATTCAAAGGGATTTGATCCAAAAAAATGTATCCAAAATATAACAAACAGTCAATGTACATCTATGGTAGAGACAAGTATGTATAAGTATGCCTTGGGCCAAGGCATGCTTATGGTTAATACATATATCGTTCGCACAAGAGATCCAGCATGTATTTACCGAAGTGTAAAATGTCTTGTAAAGCAAGGCCTATCTCTAAAAACTGTCAAACACCATTGAGAAATAGTTTTTCGCCCCTCCTTGTTTCTGAAATAATAACAACAACAAATTGTTCTTTTGCAATATGTTGCAAAACAAGGTCGCAAAGTGCTTTGCAAAATCCAAAACACTGTAACAGCCTCAGAACAAAATCGACAAAACCTAAAAGCCACTTGAACTTCAAGTCACTTAAAAGCACATTCGTAAAAAAAACAGAAAACGTTTGGGAAAACCGTTTTGCTACAAAAATAAAACGCGAAATGACAAGTGACAGGGCAACATTTCAGACAGCGCGTGAATGCAGCACCTGGCTGCTCCGCTTCGCAGCTAGAGAGGAGCGGACAGCGAGAGGCACGAGGCAGAGACCATCTCCACCGGAGAGGTAAGGACCAGAGAAGTGCTGGGTGAGCAGGTACCGCTCTTTAACGTCTGGTTTATTTATTGTTCTTAAATTTAAGGCAAACAGTTATTATTCATTAAGCTCAGAAACGCAGCAGCCAGTCTGTCATGCAGCCTATGAGGGCTCGCAGATTGTGCTGTAGTGATGCTGCAGCAGCTCAAACCCTCGGCAGGCGATTTGTTCCAGGTTACTACTAACTCTTCAGTTAATGCTTGTTTTGTCGTCACGCAGCCGAAGTGTTTGCTCCAGTTTACAAGAGCACTATTGCAAGTTTATGCCCAACAAAAGAAAAGTTAGCCAGTCATGTTTGAATGAGTGTTTTTCGTAATGTTAAAAGCTCACACCTGCAGCAATTAGCTGGCGGTTTGTAGAGAGGTAAACTAAGGTTTTCGTCATTCACTCCCACGAATGAACTGTTTCCTAGATGCAATAGACAAAAATGGTACATCAAAACATTGAGATACTTTGCAAGTCAGGAGGAACTGTGAAATAATTCAAATATGTCTCTCATCAGATGCGGTTTATCTAGTGGCTGCATTTAGGATGTCTGTATGATACTGAATATGTGTCTTTTTGACACCACAGCCTTTGCTTTAATGCTTACTTTAATGTTTTATTTCTCCACACCAGCACCTGTTCACTGTCAGGATACCACACTTGACCTCTGAAACTGAAACCTGCCCTCTTTTTTTAAGATTAAATCTCGGGCAGTAGAGAGGATCACGATGATCACTTCCTCCTCTCCATGGCAGCGATGATGGTTTTGGGAGAGAGGACCATCCTGGTTATCTCAGGTTCCCGTTCTCCGCCCTGATGCTCGCTTCAGGTCAGCCCCTCGGGACGAAGAGAGAGGAACCACCAAGAGACGGTATGACTGAGACGAGGCGTGTGGCCGAGGTCGGATCCTCCCAGAGATTGGGTGTCACCTTTTCAAAGAAGCAAAGTTGATGGACAGACAGTTTTTCCCATTTTTTTTTTTTTGGTGGGTTGAAATTCATGCACCACAACCGGGAACCAAGTGGGAAGGGGACTTAAATACTTTGAGCAGGTATTTCCCTTAATTCCCAGAGAGTCTGGATATTTAGCTGAGGGGAGAGCCTGAGTACTCACTCACTTATGGAAAGATGGAGGCAGGAGCAGAGGCGAGTCCACAGCAGCACCAGAGGAGGAAAGCTGTGCAGCACGGCTTGGAGGACCAGAAAAGGGTGAGTCAATGACTGATCCTCTTAAATCTATCTACCTGTCTGCTCTGTGTTGTGTGATGGCTGAGGAGTGCATGAGGTGGAAGGGAGCGGACAAACAATCTCTGAATATAGAGTTTTAATGTTGACAGTGGATTCTGAATAGGTTGATGCATCAACAAAACTATTGCTACCTAACTTGATGAAAAGGTTCATACAGAGTTGGCTTCTCTTCAGCCCCAGTGGATGTTGTAAGAAATCTTTTCTAAAAGATCATCCCCTGATCCAACACAATTTGTCACATTGAAAAAACAAAAAAATGCCTTTACTTTGTCTTGATGGAGGTTTAAATATTTGCTGAAGTCATCGGTAATATTGCATTGTGACCGAGTCTGACCTTCACCGGGAGTACCTGCTCAGGTGTCAAAGGACACATAACCGGATTGATTCAAAGCCAAAGACTCGGTGAAAGCGTCGAGGCGTCTGTGAAGTCTTCTTTGATGCAT